GCACGAAGAAATCGTACCTATTCCATTCTAGTCGTCACATGGCAGCGCCGCGGGAGCCGAAACAAATATGATGCCACGAGGACGGCGACGAGGACGACGACGAGAACGACGACGACGATGATGATGCTGATGATGATGATGATGATGATGATGATGATGATGACGACGACGACGACGATGACGAGGGCCAGGGAGGCGAACAACAATTATATCCTGTCCTCCTCCTAGTCCTTCTCCCTCCCCCTTTCCTCTTCCCTCCTGCATCCTCCCTTATCCTTCCTTCCTCCCCCATCCTCATTCCTCCCCATCCCCTCCTCCCCCCATCCTCGCTCCTCGCTCCTCCTTCTTCTTCCCCTCCTCTCTACCCTCCTCCCTTCTCCCCCCTCCTGTCCTCCCCCTCGCCCGCAATATACTGCAATGCACTACACTGCAAATGCAGTGCAAATGCAGCGCGGTGCACCGCATGCAGCGCAACGGGATCGCTGGTTGACAGGCTGGTTGACTGGTGGCTGGTCGGTCGGTAGGGTAGGCAGGTTGGTTGGCTGGTTGTCTGGGCGGCCGCCACGCGGCAGCGCCACTCTGCTCGTTGCGCGGCAGCGCCGCCGGGGCCGGAACAAAATACTGTTCCACTCTCTTCGCCACGTGGCACCGCCTGGCGGGGGACCGACAAACTACGATTCTGCGATGCGTCTCGCGAGAACGCTGCGGGGGCCAACAACAAATACGAAGCCACTCCACACGCCACATGCCAGCTCCTGGTGGCGCGAGGAAACGATATCCCATCCACTCTGCTCGTCACGTGGCAGCGCCAGGGGGGCCGGAAGAGACACCTATTCCACTCCGTGGGTCACGTGGCAACGATGCGGGGCCGATAAAAAATCGGTTGTCTCAACGGGTGTTCCGATGGTTGTCCTGATGGGTGTCTCGACGGTTGTCCCGATGTTTGTTCCGATGGTTGTCCAGTGGTTGTCCCGCTGGTTGTCCAGGAGGGAGGGGGGGTTGAACCCCACCCCACACTTTCTGGAATCCCCAGGTGGAAGGGGGGTTCGAACCCCCCACCCGCCCCCTCCACTTTCGGAGGGGGGGAGGTTTGAACCCCCCCCTCACACTATCGCCCAGCTGCATCAGAAGACGCTCCTTCCAATATCGCCAATGGTTACTTTAGTCATGGGCTTGTACTCGGTGGTGCTGCCAATTCTGCGCACATTGCTTTGAACACCGTCTCTACTGCTCATTGAGCATGGTCTGCTGGTACACTTTCCAACGCATGTTCAATCAATGGTTCTTGGCTGTCCAAGAATGCCTGAGCGCTCCCGTCTCTTAAGGGTCCCGGAACACATAATTGCCTGACGACAGTTTTTCGGAGGTAGGGCGCACTTGCATCCAGCCGGTCATCGTCAGACTTTCGTCGCGCGTCTGCGAACAGCCATCATCATAAGCCATTATTATGAACTGCGCACTTGTACATAATTTAGGACCACTGCGTAATCAATGCCACTGCTGTTCCTACTAGAAAATCGCCGCATGGTGCCCCGAACTTTGCACAGCAAGTTACACGGGAGTCATTTAGATTACGATACTCCAGCCCTCATATGAATCATCCCCCCTCTTCGTCCCACTGCCACTTCTCTCCTCCTACTCGTCCGCACACTCCCGCTCATCCCTCTTCGCTCCTTCCTCCCCCCCCCCTCGCAGGAATGACTTGGCGGATACTCAGATTTCGCCCAGCGCTTCCCTCCTCATCATGTATGCTTTGATCACGTCATCGGCGACGTTCTCCTCCCCCCATCCACCCTCATCTATCCCTCATGTCCTTTCTGGAGTCAGCCTTCTGCTAGTCCGTTTCTCCATCTTCGCCAATGTTGTCCCTCCTTCTCCTCCTCCTCCTCGTCCAATTCCACCATCCTCCCTACCCATCCTCATCATTCGCATCGTGCATTCGCCTTCCCACCTACTCCTCCTCCTGCTACTCCTCTTCCGACATCCTCCTACTCCTCCTTCCATCCCTGCCTCCCTGCCTCTTCCCTCGATCCAAACTCCCTCCCTCCCAACCTCCCTTCCTCTACTTCTCTTCATCATCTAAGAATAATCATCATCAGCATCATAAGCATCGTCAGCAGCATCATCAACAACATCATCATCATCATCATCCTGATCATATTTTTCCTCATCATCATCATGATCATCATCATCATCAACATCATCGACACCACCATCATCATCATCATCCTCATCATCATCATCATCATCATCATCATCATCATCATCATCATCATCATCATCATAATCATCATCATCATCATCATCATCATCATCATCGGCATCGTCATCACCAGCAACAGCATCACCATCAACAGTATTATCATCCACATCATCATCCTCATCAGCATCGTCCACATCATCAGCAGCATCATCATCACTAGCAGTCATCATCATCAGCATCATCAGTCTCGTCGTCACCATCATCACCTTCAATATCATGATGATCATCATCATAATCATCATGCTCGTCATCATCGTCATCATAGTCGTTACTCTCATCATAGGCGCCACTCCCATCAATATGATCATCAGCATCATCATCGTCATCAGCATCATCAGCATCACCATTATCAGCCTCATCATCATGATCATCAGCAGCATAATCGTCATCATGCTCACGATCAGAATCACCATCATCATCATCATCATCATCAGCAGCAGCAGCATCATTATCCACCTCCTCATCATCAGCATCATCATCATCGTCATCATCAACATCCTCGTCAGCATTAGCATCGGCATCAGAATCGTCATCCATCCACTACCGTCACCATCATCATCGTCATCAGCATCATCATCGTCGTGCTTGTCGTCATCAGCTGCATAATCATTGTCATCGTTGTCGTTATCATCATTATCATCACCATCATCAGCATCATCTTCATCACACCGTCTTCGTCGGCGTCGGCATTGACATCATCTACAATGGCAGCATCGTCGTCATCATCGCCATCATCATCATCATCATCATCATCATCATCATCATCATCATCATCATCATCATCATGATCATCATCATCATCATCAGCAGCATCATCAGCACTAGCAGCATCATCATCAGCATCAGCAGCATCATCTTCATCATCCCCAGCACCATCATCATCATCATCATCATCATCATCATCATCATCATCCCCATCATCATCATGATCACCATCATAACCCTCCTCCTCTTCATGATCATCGGTCATGATCATGATCCCTGTTCATCATGATCATGATCATGATCATCATAATCATCATGATAATGATCTTTTTCAGCATATTCATCATCATCACCAGCATCATCAACATCATCATCATCATCATCATCATCATCATCATCATCATCATCATCATCATCATCATCATCATCATCATCATCATCGCCACCATCATCAACATCAGCATCGTGCCTGCCTGCTCCTCCTCTTCCTCCTCCTCCTCTTCCTCCTACTCCTCCTTATTCCCTCCCCACGGGAGCGCTTCGCGTAAATGGACCCAGAATACCATGACACATAAGTCGTAAGCCGCATCTTCTGCATCATCTTCTCCTCCTCCTCCTCCTCCTCCCTCTCCTCCCTCTCCTCCTCCTCTTCCTCCTCCTCCTCCTCCCCCGCCTTTTCCTCATCTTCCTCATCCTCCTCGCTCCCTTTATCTGACCCATCATCCGTCCTGCTATGTCCATACTGCCTCCATCCCTCCATCTCTCCTCCCTCGTCCATCTCCCGTCCTCCTCTCCCCTCCCCCACCGGCAGAGGGTGGGATCTTGCCCCGCTTAGCGAGCCTCCTCCCTGAGAAAAGGTGTCTGCGCTAGAAGCAAGGAGTCCCCAGAGTGTCACGAGAGCCAAGAGTCAAGAGTGTGCTTCACGCCATGTTGGGGGGACAGGTGACCACGGCCGTAGTTGATCAGGAGTTTGCTGACCAGGGCATCGTTGACCACGGCCGCTCCGCGTCCTCATCGTCATCCCTATCCACTTCCCAAGCTCACCATGCCTCCTTCCTCTTCTCATCCTTGTTGCCCCCCTGCTCCCTCCTCCCTCCGTTTCCTATCCCTCGAGCACCTCGTAATCCTCCTCGCCCCCGTCGTCATCATCTGCAGCAGCATCATCCTCGTCGTCATCCGTAGCCACATCGGTTCAAGCCATCCTTGGCCAGGGCTGTGCTAAGGGCTCCACCCCGCGGCAGCAACCTGGTGGGAGCCCTGGCGGAGCGGCTCCCGAGGACCACTGCCACTGCACCTTGGCGGTCGGAGCTGAACGTGAGCCTTAAGGGGGGGGAGACCCGGCTCCAAAAAAGGAAACCTCCGACCCGTGGAATCGGCGACGCGTCGCCGACACATCGGCGATGGGCTCCCGACAGCGAAGCCGCACTTTTTTCTAGGCGGGGAGGGGTAGCAGGGCCCCAGTCGGTGATGATTGGGCGATTGGGGCCGATGCCTCCGCACCTGGCCTGGCGTTGCCCCCGAGGAGCGTGGGGATCGGCTGATCCAGGTGTCCGGCTCTCTTCCGAAGTGCAGCCCAAGAGGACCTCTCGTGAACCTGGCCCACGCCTGCCGAGTGCTGCGAGGCCACCCACCATGGAAGAGGCCAAGGGTGCGGAGTGGAGGCCCCGAGGGCGGACAACGGCGCATCGGCTTGCCAAGCAGGCAACCCTCGAGGAGCAGGCCGAGGGTGATGACCCGTGGGCCTGGGCAGCGACTCCGGTGATCACGCCGCGCAGGCTCACCGTCATCCCTCGGGTACTGCCTGTCCTCCCCCTCCACCCCCACTCCTCCTCCTCCTCCTCCTCCTCCTCCTCCTCCTCCTCCGCCTCCTCCTCCTCCTCCTCCTCCTCCTCCTCCTCCGTCTCCCCTTCCTCTTTCTCTTTCTCCTCCTCCTCCTCCTCCTCCTCCTCCTCCGCCTTCTCCCCTTCCTCCTTCTCCTCCTCCTCCTCCTCCTCAGTGGTCCCGTCCATGCCGAAGCAGCCTGAGGAGGTGA